TATCATTGCTCTTCCCCTAGATCTAGCAGAAGAGCAACTGGAGAGTGGTTTTGAGGAGTGCACATACACACTCATATTTTTTCTGTAAGATTGTTGCTAGCCGTTCCCTTCCCTTCTCTTACAGGGTGGCATCTCAGTCATGGGATGGTCAAACGCTCAAACGCTGAGTAGCTTTACACTATTGCATGTGAAGTAGAATTAGTGAGGAGTCAGAGTGCATCAGTGGCACTTGTGCAAACTCTGGAGAAAAATTTTGCTTCCTACAACTGTGAGCTGTAATACAAGTAGTACTAGTCCAGTTTTTTTGGGACTGTATTGTTACTCTTATTAATCAACATTAAGTTCAGAGAGTAATCATATTAAACTCTTCTTATCCTTGCTTCCTAGTTATTAGGAGAAGTAGCTAATGTGATGATGTTAGTTAATATCAGTATTGTTGATAGAACTGCAATACATTTCTTAATGCATATAAGTGATCGAACTGGTGGTCATTATCTCTTCACAAGTAACAGCTGTGTGAGCCATCTTAAAAGATGGTCCATTTGTTACTTCATAGGCTGTGTCAATACTAGGAAAACGAACAGCATTGGCTATAAATGTTTCTTCTGTTTATCGCTCTCGTACTAAGCCACTATTGAATGAATTGCTTGTCGTTATGGGTAACTGATACTGCTACTTAGCCCTAAGAAAGATATAGATCTTTTATTGCGTATCATTCTAAGCTTAACTTGGAAGGTTTAAAAAAAAAAAAAAAAAGCTGCTCTCTTTCTTTTTCCTTTTCCCCTTTCAGATAGGGTACATAAGCAACGTGATAGCTGGTGGAGACAACTGTTTGGCCTTGGTAGACAAAAACATAATGGGATATATTGCCAGTTTGCATGAATTGGCCTCTACTGAGAGAAGATTTTATTTTAAACTGAGTGAGATCAAATCTCAGGTGCTTAGACCTCTTCTAGGTTTAGGTAAGAACTTCTTTTAACTTACCCTTTGTTATCATTTCCCTTAGGTTCTAAATAATTTTTTAATGCAAAATTTAAAAGTAGCTGTATATTTTAAATACAAAGCTAAGATCTTACTCCTGTCTTGGAGCAATTAGTGAAATGCAGCTGCATTTTGATATCTGCATGATGTTATTAGTATTTGCACTTTCCTAACTGTTCCATAACTTAATGGCTTGAGCCATATTTAGTCTAAGATCATTGAATTCTTGATTCTGAATAATGTTGCCAGGAAGTGAAATTGCTGATAAAACATTGAAATAGTAGTGTGGGGGAATTAATGGATGCTCCTTATTAGTAGGTGCTCTTTTCTTGTAAAGTAAGCTAAATTGCTTTCTGTTCTGTTGCAGATAACTTGGGCAATGCAAATACAATCCAATTGTTACAGGAAATGGCAAGCAGGTTCAGCAAGTTATGCTATCTCATTGGTCAACATGGAGCTTCTTTAAGTAGTTTTCTTCGTGGAGTAAAGGAAGCCAGGAGCTTGGCCATCCTGAAGCATTCCAGTCTCTTCTTGGATAGTTACACTGAGCAAGTATCCAGTTCTCTCTCATCTTGAGTCTCTGCGAGCTTAATCTAGTGAGCAGAACAAGCCTTGAGTTAGGGGAAAGTAATCATAAGGAAAACAGCATAAGAAACTACCATGTAAACTCTATTCTTGCAATTTAAAATTTATGGAGGATATTACATAGAGAGTAATCCACTTTGTACTGAGCTATGTATCTCGAGATCTTTGTTAGTAGAGCAGACTGGACAGTTTTGGTTGTCCTAGTGTAAAACTCTGTGTAAACTCATTTTTGGCTGTTTATATATTTTGTAGAGTGACATGATTGTTACCTAATAATTAGGATATTGTAGTACAATGTAATAGAGTAGATATTGTTAGGCTACTAAGTAAAAGCTACCTTTGGGATTTAGTGTGGTTACAAAATGCCTTACCAAAACTTAGTAACTAAAAATTGCATCCTGGATGAACAATTCTTCTGTCCTGGTATTTGCCAAATAACTGGCATTATGCCTCTCACCTGGAAGCTTGAGCTACTCTATTACCCAGAATTAAGTCTGAATTATATTCATGTGCTTAGTTGGTTTGGGAGGTGAAAATCTATGTGATTAGGTTGTCTGATGTCTTTATCCTCAATAACTTTTGTAGCTACTGGATCGTTTCAACCTAACTTAGCAGAGGTCTCAACGTACTTAATTCCTATAGGCTTTTGTGAAAATACTGGCTTGACAGAGGGGGAGACCCTAAAAATGTCCTCTCTGAAGGTAGTCTCAATTACTAGACACCTGAAAATCCATATGAGAACAAAGTTTCAAGATCACAAACTTCATTTGCTATGCAGTAGTCTTTTGAATATGCAGTAAGTTTGTTTTTTTTTTTTTAAACTCAAGTTTATCAAATGTTTATCAAATGAGTTGTTCATAACTGTAGGAAGGTATTCTCTTCTCTTCTCTTGCTATCTCTCTGATTTCAATTCTTTTGTAACTTGGATTTCCAGAGCTGGTTTTTGTTATTGCTCAGACTAGGTTTTTCTTAATTTCTTTTTTGTCCCTGTCAAAGACTGAAATATCTATTTTCTGTTGTCTTTGTTATTGCCTGTTTTCTGCTGTCCACCTCTGTTTTCTTAATGCTTTACACATTTCTGTGTATGGCGTTGAAACCTATGTGTGCTTCTCATCTGAGCATCTTCCAAGGGTCCATCAAGCAACATGAGTACTGTCTGTTAATTGTGTTGAACTGAGACCTCTCCCCTTGGAGAAAAGTGTCCTGAATTATTTCTTCATGGTTTTGTTTTTCAGTAGGGGAGAAGCAAGAGGTAGAATTTTGAATAGCAGGAAAAAAGAAATTCCCATCTTGAAGATAATTAGAAGCTAGCAGCCTTCATCTGTAGAAACAGATGACCTGCTCTGTACATGTCTAATTTTGGGGAAAACTCCAAAATTCAAAGGGGGAAACTCCAAAGTTTCTGTTCCAAAGTAATCTCTCTGCATTGCACTAGTGGCAGCAAAAAGATGGGAGTAATGCATGTCCTACCTTCAGTATGAAAAGTGAATGCTAAGTACGTCAAGTAGCTCATTGTTTAATATTTTCTCAAGTAGTTAAACTTCTAGAGTAAAACGTGCAGCTGTCATTGGTAAGCAGTTGAAATGTCAACTGTTGTCATTTTCCAGAGATGTTTTTAGTTTGAAACTGAAGCTATCTTTTCTTTCTTGGTTTAGGTATTGCACGTCAGTAACAAACTTCCTGGTAATGGGAGGATTTATGCTCCTTGCAAAGCCAGCAATGTAAGAAAACCTTTACCGTTATTTTCTAGTTGATCAAAAACTCCAAACAATTGTATTTTGAAGAATTGTATGCGTATATGTGCATGTATGTAGCAACAAGCATGTGATAACTCAGTGTCAGCATACTTAAGTACTAGTTTCTTTTCCATCAGAGGAAGAAAGTCACTTGCTCTCAGATGTGATAACAATTTAAGTTTAAATGCTGCTGATTGAGTGCAGTTGCTTTATCTTGAAAGTGGAGAAAGGAGAGGGAAAAAGCATAAAGTGTAAATTCTGTGAAATCTGAATAAGTACATCGGATAAGATTCTTTAAAGCTTAGTCTTAAGGCTAAATTTTTGTCATCTATTCAGTGTTTACTGATACTTATAAAACACAGACAGCAAACTTTCTTTAAGAATTAAGAGTAGGTGATACCAATTCTATTTAGTTTGAGTTCTCTAAATTTACAGAAGTGTTGTGTTGTATTTTTGCGTTATTTCAGAGCATTTTTTGCACAGGTATCCTCTATGATACTTTACTCTCTTTACTCTCAAAGATACTTTACTCTGTTTCGTGTATGAATGCTCAGAGCATTAAATAAATGCTATGTCTTGAGGCCTGAGACAATATCTTTGAAGTTATAGATCTCAGAGTAAAGCCTTTTCTCCGTTAAAAAATATTTTGAAAATAGAGTAATGGCACTGTGCATCTTCCACCCTAGTGCTGCGAAAAAGTTGTTGTAATGAAGAGTTTGTTTGCTGATGTCAGCAGAACTACATTCCTTCCTAAATTCAGTAATTTTGGTGGTGTTCTATTAAAGCTGTTTATGGAGCGCTTTTAACATAGCGTGAGCAATGGTACTGGAAGTTCTTTGAAATGGCAAGGTACCTAATACAAGAAATCCTTGGCACCTGAGGACTAGTGCCAATGGCTAAATATAAAATCCTACTGCAGAGAGATACCGACAGTCTTTTTTTAAGGTGAATTACAGCAAGTCTGAGTTCAAGTTGCAGCTAGCTAACTAAGCGTAAGTTTGTTTATACTTAGTGTTGAAAAGTTCTGGATGCAGAAACGACTTGTAGTGAATTCTTCACATCAGGTGTCACTGTCATGTGTGACTGCTTTTCCTACTGCAACCAGGGTCTCATTAGGCAAATAACACTTTTTCAAGTTCTGAAGCTTCAGGGAGGAGATGTTTTAGAAGTTTTGTTCCGTTACTTGCAACGGGAAGGCAAGACTATCTTTGCAGTTAATGATTCTATGTTTAGAGCCCCCCTGCCCTGCAGGATACTGTCTCAGGCAATGGTTAGTGATGTCAGCTTGGCTCTTACAGATATTCTGCAATGTGAATTTGTTACAAGTAGTCCTTTTCTTTTTTTTTCTTTTTTTTTTGTACTAGTTTCAGTAGAAATCTTCACTGTTGGCAGGTTTTTGGGGTACTTCATCTGAAAGAGTAGACAAGACCTATACTCATGATGAATCTATTATTATATAACACTTTCTATAGAGAGACCCCTCCCATATGAGGACCTCAAAAATGCAAATCATCCAGATTGTTAAATTTACAAGTAAGAAATATGATTTCCTCTCTAAAGAGGACTTTCTTCCCAATGTTTGTTGATCAAAAGTTCCTAAATCTCCTTAGTAGGCCTAGACAAGGTACGTGAGTCTGGTATGTGTGAAACGGCATCTTACTAATGTAGAACTCTTAGGGACTCTGCTGAGCAATTCTCTGAGCTGTTTCTTTGTCCCTGGGGCTTGCTTTCTCAGCCTCGCTTGATTCTTGCAGCTTGCTGTTCTAACGCTTCCCAGCTGGACGTGTATTACTTCAAATATGTGTCATATATGCCAGCACATGTGTGCACACAGATATGATGGAGGAGAGGGGGGAAAAAAATAGGCTTGTTTTCCTTTTAGTGAAGAATTCCTGATTTTTGTGTGCTAATACGCTGTCTTCAGAATCATTTCCCTCTTCTTCTCTGAACTAGATTAGTTCTCCCTCTTGGAAATCAGACTGAGGATTGAACAGATTTCCTGCCTTTCTTTGAGGTAGGATGTAATTTTTCTAGTTAGGGGGAAACTGGTTAGTTTCCTTGAAGGACAGGGGTGGGGAAGAGATTGTTTGGCTATACTTAAGGAAGCGCACTGGAGCAAAGTTAAGATCCTTTCAGGCCATCTCATGAGTCTGTCAACAGTGTTGGAAACTCACTACTCTTAACAATTACGGGGAAGTCATTCCATCTGTCTTAGCTCTTTGGCTAAAAGTTAAAGGGGAAAAAGGCAATTAGTAACTCTCCAAGTGGGGAAAACTAGTCAACTTTCTTCAACCAATTTAATGACTGAGCATGTGAGTAGAAATCAACAAGCAAGTTGTGTTGCAGTTGGCAGAGATCTGCATGACTGTATTATAGCAGTTCCTTAAAAATTGGGAATAGATTAATGAGCGGCATGTGTTTGTCTTAATTTTTACTGGTTTATGATAATCCAAAAGGGGCGTTCTTGGCTAGCATCACTGATTGTGCAAGTAAAACAGCACTTATGTCAAACTGTCTTTTTCTTCTTTCTTCCTTCTGTTCCCCAATGGTCCCATCATTTAGAGACTTCTTGAGTAAAAACCAGGAGCTGTTACAGAAACTATCTGAGGTGAATGAGGAAAACACTCAGCTAGTGGAAGTTCTAAATGCTCTGTTTTTCATGCCGTTTGGACGACTTCATAATTATGCTAGAACTTTGCTAAAGCTTGCTACATGTTTTGAAGTGGTAAGCAGTCTTTGGTTATCTATAACTGAATAAATATACATGTGAAACTTACAGCTCAGAAGTAACCGTATGAAGCGAGTGCCAGGTAATTAGTCTGCAGCAAAGCTACCTCAAACTTATATTTGTTGCAGGGAAAGATTGTACACGTTTACTTGCACGTTCTTACATGTGCTTGTACATATCACATGACAAGCAAAAATGTATTAGCCTTCCATAACTTATTTGTGTGTCTGAGCTCTTAATTGCAAATATATTATCTTGTTTGCCTGTTCTTCATCAGTTCCATCTGGCATCATTAGCATAGTGATCCTTGGCTTTAATATTGTACTAAAAATACTGCATAAATATTAGTTAGACTTTCGTCACTTAGGCATATATAATTATGTTCCTTTGAAAGCAAAGATGACTGACTAGGAATAACAGCTACTTGATCGCTCATCCCATTATAGTCATTTAAAGTATTCCTCCTGAAAGTAGTAGTGTTTCTTCAGCTACAGCCTGTGAGGTGCCAGTGAGGATTAATTATTAACATACAATGTTTGCATGATTGCTTTTAATGCTCAGGGAACCTTTCTCATAATACTCAGCACACCAATAGGATATGTGACTAAGAAAGTAACTTAGCTTCCTGTTTTACTTTATTAACCAGATGAGCTGTCATACATTCAAGTGCTGATTCAATAAAATGGACTGTTACACTGAAGCTTGGTTAATGTTGTTGGTACATTCAGAAGCACTCTCAGGACCGTCTTTACTTTGTGCCCTATAGGCATCTCCAGAATACCAAAAGTTACAGGATTCTAGTTCTTGTTATGAGAGCCTTGCTGTCCATCTTAGCAGAAAAAGGAAAGAAGCAGAATATACACTGGGCTTCTGGAAGACCTTTCCTGGGAAAATGACGGTATGATGGCATTTGTCAGTCCATTAGCAGCTGGAACCTCTTGCTGTTAGCATTGTACCTTGTGTCTATACTGATGCTACTGTCCCAGTTGCACTTCTCATTCTTTTGAGCATTCTTGCTGTAGTACTTCAACTTCAGAAAGGTTTGACCTTTCTGATAGCCCTGACCTTCAATCAAAATCGATAAGAAGTAAGCTTCTGTGACTTTTATTTTTAACCCTACTTGTAGGACTCCTTGCGGAAGCCAGAACGTCGTTTAATCTGTGAAAGTAGCAATCGGGGGTTGTCCCTGCAGCATGCTGGGAGATTCTCTGTCAACTGGTTCATTCTCTTTAATGATGCTCTGGTGCATGCTCAGGTAAGACAGCTTGTCTCCTGGAGCAAAAGCTTTTTCTGCTTTAAACAAAATCACGTATTTTCCATATAGCAAAGGAAGATTTTTGTACCGTTCATCGCAATGTTGTTTGAACACATGAAAGTGATAATGTTTCCATGTTTCCAAATAAAATGGAAATGATCTATTAACAGGTGCTTTTGTTGCTGTTGTCTTGTGGCTGGCATAGTTTCTGTTGGCTACTTTTGTAAGCATGGTGCATAGGAGGAGCCTGTAATGCTCTATTTTCCTTAGTCTTTGAAGAGAAGGAAAAAATTGTTTAGAGAAGGTGCAGTGAGGGGTGGGGGAGAGTATGCATCAGTATTTGAAGTTTCTCTTCTCCCTCCCTCCCTTTCTCCTTGCCTACAGTTCTCAACGCACCATATTTTTCCCTTGTCCACACTGTGGGTAGAGACTCTTTCAGAAGAAGCTGGTAATGTGTAAGTATTCTTATTTGTGATGCTGAAATAATCAGATGTGTTGGGAAGGGAAGATGAGGGTTCTGTGACCGATTGAACTAAGTATTGTAAACTTGGAGCAGAATAGGATGCAATCACATGGACCCATCTTTTTTTGTGTTGGAAGGCTTTTGTTGTATTTATAGGCCTTAAAAACAGACAGACAAAAAAAAAAAAAACCTCCTCAGAACTAAGTTGTATAAACACTGGGAAAAAACGTGGAGGCAAGAGGGAAGTGGGTAGTCATTTCTGGTTCTTTTTACTGCTGACTTTATACTAAAATGAATGCTACCTGGGGTGAGGGAGGGAAGCTGCAGTATTCATGCTCTAAGGAACCTTGCCCTCTGCAGGATGAAATTTCACTAGGTTAAAGTATTTGTTTATTTTTTCTGTGTAGGAATGGTTTGAAGATTACAACTCCAGAAGAACAGTTTGTTCTTCTTTCCTCAACACCACAGGAAAAGGTAAGCACATCTGCAAATGTTGCATGGCTTCAGTGATATGAATGAAATTTTTATCTCCTACTCTGAAACCAAATGGGGAGAAATACTGCCTAATATTAACCAAGAATGAAGTCTTTTTACAACTTGGCATGCTGTTTGGTCCTGTGCTTGCCGGTAGCAATGGTACAATTTACAATACTGTACTGAGGAACAAAAAGGAGATCGTAATAGTTGTCTTAAAGGTGAGATTGAATTGAAAGACAGATGTTAACTAAATTCTGTGATTAAACACTTTGTTTCAGACCAAGTGGTTGAGGGCAATAAGCCAAGCAGTGGATCAGGCCCTTAGAGGGACCTCAGACTTAATCCTACACGGAGCTGGTGGGAACATTCCACGACAGGAACCTCCTATTTCTCGTAGCGCCAAATACACCTTCTATAAAGACCCTCGACTTAAGGATGCCATGTACAATGGGAGATGGCTTTCAGGGAAACCCCATGGCAGGTAAAAGTATTTGAACCTAACAGTCTGAGAACGAAATGAAGTGGCTGCCGTATCAATAAGAAGTAGATTCACTCACAGAAAGTGTTTGTGAAGTGTTAAGTGAACTGATTAACTTGTACTTTATGTATTTTCCAGAGGGATCCTTAAGTGGGCGGATGGCAGAATGTACTCTGGGACTTTCCGGACTGGGCTGGAGGATGGGTAAGATCCTCTCCCTACCTGCAGAGACAGAGGGCAAGAAAACAAAACTTACTATAGGTGAAAACAAGCAAGTCCTTTTACTTAAAGGTTTTGCAACAAGTCTCATTGATTCAGGGTTATGCACACTAACAAAATATAGATATCTATCCATTTATATATGTCGATACATAGAGAAGAAGCTATCATTTATCCATATATTCTCCTTCACGACAGATGATAATTGCTTGCTAAAAACTTGCCCTTTCAAAAAACCTAAAACTAACTTGGTTAATCAGCTGCACAAGAGAAGGAGGGAATGGTAAATAAAAAGAATGGGGGGGGGGGAAGGGGGTAGAGCCTCTTCAGAAAACTGAAACAAACAAGTTGTGGGTGTCATTCTTCCTTGGCATACTGATAATCTGAGCAATTTTATGCCACTGTTCGAGCATAATTGGAAGCTAGAATCTTTTTATTTTAACTTTCTTTGTGGTAATATATGTTCTTGCCTTTCCCTGGAGCAAAGGTGTATTTGAGTATCAAGACTTGAAGCAAGCAACAATTTTTTTTTAAACCTAGCAAGACAACCAAGTTTGAAGCAGATTTAGAATGTGAGAAGACTTGTAGCTTTTTGAAACCTGAGAAAAACACTGCGGTATGGGAGAGGGAGGAGAGCTTAAAACAGGCCAAAAACAAATAGGAGAAAAGCAGTACATGATCAACTGATGTAGTGATGCTGAAACTCCTGCTTTCTCTTAAAAAAATAAAAACATAAAATCTAGCTGTTGTAGGTGAAGAGATACACTAAAAATAACATGAAGCATTCTGATTGTAGAGTGGGTTTGGGGTATGTATCAGTTTCTGTTCTGATAGAATGGATTAGTTTTATAGCTGCTTGTGTTCCCTTCTCATGCGTTGGCAGGTATGGTGAATACAGAGTGCCAAACAAAGCACTGAACAAAGATGACCACTATGTGGGTTACTGGAAGGAAGGCAAAATGTGTGGACATGGAGTCTACAGGTAATGCGTGAACTTGTGTTCCTCTGATTGCAGAAGGCAAGAGGAATATGTAATCTAAGGGGGATGTGGACCTAACCTGAAGTTTCACCAGTGCTTTCCAGTAGCACTAAATTTCCGTTAATTCTTTGTCACACGGTTGACTTTCCAAGCTCCTGTGTGTTGCTTTCTTGCTGCATTTCCAGACTTGTGATTCTAGTTAGCTTGGCTTATTTTTTGCATTTCTCTTGGATGACGGCTCACAACACGTTCTTGTGCTGTGGTCTGTTACAAATCTCCATTCTAATGTTGCTACCATCTTTCAATAAGCAAGGATATTCTTTTCTTCTGAGAGATGAGTATAACGTCTTAATGGCCTTGCTAGTTGGGGGATTTAAGACCACCCTCGCTAAAGGGTGGTTTTAAATCAGCAAAGCATCAAAAGACTTTGCTCATTTATGCATCAAATATGCTTTTAATCTATTTCCTGCCCAGGTAGTGTTTTAATGTAATTCCTAATCTGGAATTTAAAAAAAAAAGGAAAGAAAAAGAAAAAACAGATAGTAGGAATTTTACTTATTCTCTCTTTCATTAAAGCTATGCTACTGGTGAGGTGTATGAAGGGTGTTTTCAGGATAACATGCGTCATGGGCATGGTCTGCTGCGCAGTGGGAAGCTGACCTCTTCCTCTCCCAGTATGTTCATTGGACAGTGGACAATGGATAAGAAGAATGGTTATGGAGTTTTTGATGATATCACAAGGTAACACTTCAGTTGCTCAAGTCCTCGAACACTGATATGACATGCAATTGCAAAAACCGCAGGAAAGGACTTGATCTGGTAGTAGTGCAGTAGTATATGTGTGTTTTAAGTTTTTCTTCATTTAATATTGTACTGGGCTTTCTGGATGGAAAGAGGTGATCTGAATCTGTCTAGAGGTTGCTTTTTAGTGCTGCACTTGGAGTAAATGTGTTTTTGTTTTGTTTTGCTTCAGGGGTGTGGGGATTCTTTATTTTTGTTTTTGTTTTTTAACACCTTGCTTTCCCATATGCTCCTGCCTGAAAGCTGGCACTGAATATGGTATCTTACTGGGGGATATTGTGTTACTGCAGAATGTTTTATAAATGTCATGAGGAGTATTTTCTCATCTCAGGCCCATAAGACTAAGTTGTTCAGTGACCTAATACATAATATATGGTGGTGGTCGTTTTTCTGCTCTAGGGCAAAGATGTTGCCATATACATCTGCTTGGTTGTTTTCTTTTATTTTTTTCCTGCTAGTGAGTTGCCACTGCATTTAGAAATTCTGGAGGAGATTGGACCTGCCAAGAAAGCTTCCATCTCTTTAGTTTGTCTTAGGCTAAAAACAAGTGTGGCATTTGCTTTCTATTCTTGACTTAAATATGAGTGAGTAGCTGTCACAGTAGTTCTTTCTCCTCTCAGAGGAGTGGAGTATATGCATATGTTAATTTCTTCATTTTCTTCAGTACTTTTTCTTTGGCCCAGGCAAATAAAGGATTGTTGCTGTTCTGTTATAACTCTCTGTAATTATTGCAAAACAGTCATTTAAGCAAGCAAGACTGTCGTCTTTTATCCTGGAAACTGAATATGCTGCATCTGGTCTCTTTAAGAAGCCTTCTCTCAATAGAGACCTGTGTAGCTGGCATACAGAATCAGGTTATGGGTCCAAACAGCAGAAGGTAACCCTTAAGTTAGATTTATTACTTGGCTAATTCTTTACAATGGATAATTCATAATTTTTCTGGGGTACTGACAGCAAAATGCTCCATAATAAGTAAAATTCAATTCCATACGTTACTAGTTTCCCTTTCAAAACAAACAAAATAGTCCATGCTAGGTTGTTTTTGTTTCTTACTTAGACAGTGAAGCACCATGTCCTTTTTGAGGACAACTGAAAAGATGGATTTAAAAGATTTGAGACTTGTGCTTAATTTCAAACACTCTAACCTGATCTCTGTGGACTTGCGCTTATACGTGAGAAACCTTTAATTGGCTAATCTATTTTTACGGTATGAGCTTTGTTCAGCTTTTACCCAAAAACTTTCTACAAGATGGTTTATTTCTTTACAATTTTTGTGCTCTAATAGTACGTTCAGAAGGTGAGGCGTAACGGCATTGGGAACTATGTAGGTCTTCCTTATATAGAGAATCATGAAAGGATTATAGTTTCTATCGCAAAGAGCAGTCTTTCATTCTATTATGCCAATGAAACTGGATTGACAGACTCGAAGTAAGTGCTGTATGACTCTTTCCTAATGACTTGTTACGGTCAAGTACCGTTATGGTCAAGTACCACAGTAAAGCCCAAGCAAAAAGGGATACGAATGTAGTAGACTAATTAGACTGTGCTCTTCATTCTTCAGAGGAGAAAAGTATATGGGAATGTGGCAAGATGATCTCTGCCAAGGAAACGGTGTTGTGGTTACTCAGTTTGGACTGTATTATGAAGGAGCGTTCAGCACCAACAAAATGATGGTGAGTAGAATGCTGGGCTTCATACTATAGTGACTTGTCCTCTAAACGTAGCGGCTTTCTGGCCTGGCTGAGTGGCAACGCAACAGTATATGCTAGACTCTGTAAGCCTTCTGTTCTTCTAACCTTCTCTTGTCCTGTATCTTTGAACTGCCTTTGTAATCCCCGCTCTGTTTACTAGAACGACTACAGAAGTTGCTTTAAGAAAATTGTTTGCTAAGAACTAATAACAGATATTTCACTGTATCTTTGGAGCTACAGTGTGGTGGTCTTTCATGGTAATTGCTACTTTTTGTGGTGTTCATGGGTTTTTTTTTTCCTTTCTCTCTAGGGAACCGGAATTCTGCTTTCTGAGGATGATACAGTCTATGAAGGGGAATTTGCAGATAACTGGACTCTGAGTGGAAAGGTTGGCATTACAATTACCATTTGGAAACTTACTGTCTAAGTTCTCTCTCTCTCTCTCTCTGCCCCCCCCCTTTTTTTTAAATGATTCGCAATGGATTTCAGTTAAGTTTGTATTATCTTCTCTCAAGGGAACACTGACTTTGCCAAATGGAGATTATATTGAAGGTCTCTTCAGTGGAGAATGGGGATCTGGTATAAAAATCACTGGAACCTACTTCAAACCTAGCTTATATGAGAGTGAGAAGGACAAACCTAAAGCATTGTGAGTGCTGAACAAGAAATACTTTCCGATATGGCTCAGTAATATCGCTGAACATACCTATTGATCTTTTTTCAAAGGATAGTTAAAATATTTTTGCTACAGAACCAGTGAGATTTTGAAAACATTGAGTTCCTTTTTCATTCGTCTTTCCTTCCCCTTAGGAAATAAGATAACAAACTTCTATATGGCAGTTCTAGCATTAATTACTCCTTGAATGGACAAATAGCATAGCATAGAATTGCAGGATAGTTGAGATGTTGCTACTGTCCTGTAGCAGTCTCAGATTTTTATTTAAATGAGCTGACTGTTAGAACTTGTTTATAGTTGCTAATGACTTTTGAGTTGGGAGAGCAGGAGTTACATTTGTGGGATTAAGGCCATCACAAACCTTTGTCTTCCATTAATTACTCTGTTGGTAACTTCTATTCATTTAATAATAGTAATTTAATAACACCACTGGGGATACATTTGAATAGAACTAGCTATTTAGTACATGTATTCCAAACAACAGATAAGAAAATAGTAGAAGAACGTCTTGAATTGTAAGAGAGAATTTTTGAACGCCTTGGAAGAGATAGTCTTGAAAAGCATCCATAAAATTACGTGTACTGGACAGAGGATGTATTAGGTCAGTTTGTTTAGTTATCTCTGAAAAACTATGTTTGTTTCATTTGAGTCATAATTAAGATATCTTTAGGTAAAAGAAAATTTAGGTTTAACTTTAAAATAGCTGTAGATGAAATTCTAGTGTTTGGTAGTACTATATGCTACCACTGTGTGTGTATAATAGTTGTGCAGGATTCAATATTACTAAAGCTTACTCTCAAATTTCAGAAAGACTAAAATGGGAAACAAAACTCTTTGTTTCTACCTAGCTTATTTCTGAGTATGCTTCCTGAAGTATTCACTGGCGAATTCTTTTGACAGCACTGACATCTACAATAGGATG